ACATCTAAAATAAAGAAATGAATAATTAATTAATTAAACCTTTAAAAATGTATTTTTCAAATTAATAATTATTGTTTAATTTGTAATTTAATGAACATTTACTTTATCAAAAATTAATACTTTTATTATATTTAATACTAATTTATTTTAATGTCTGCTATTTAAAATATTCATGTAGAAAACTAAGATTAGATGTTGAGTAATTTTTTAATTTTTTTTTTATTTCCTTCATTAATAATTAATATTAAAATATTTATCATAATTAAAAATTAATACATAAAATGACTTTTTAACTAATTAAAGTGGCAAACTGGAATTATATTTGTATTCAATTTATTAGATGGAAGAAGAATATTCTTTGTGTATGAGTTAGATTGTTATAATAAAGGATAGAAACAAAGATTTCATGCTGATAAGTCAATAAAAATTCCCAGAAGAAATTAGCATAATGGGTCTACTTATATAATAGAAGCATTTCCTTTTACAGATGTATCTACGGAGATTACGTCAAACTATTCCTTCATTTAGAAGAAACAGCAGTGAATGAACACAGTTCGTGGAATATTGTCCTCTGTGGGAAGATAGCAGACATTGAACAGACTCATTATTCCTCAGGGAACAGCCTTATCTTTGAGTTTCATTCAGACTGGCAACAAGGAAACAACACCGGATTTCGTGGAACTTATCGGTTTCTAAGTAAAAGTATGCCCTATATCCTTTAATTACATACACTTCTCTTATATTAATAAAGAAATTTTATTTAAATATTTAATTCTTATATATCTAAAAAAATTAGAAACTTAATTATAAAAGTTAGAAGATAATTTAAATAGGTTTTTTTTTTACTAAATTTTATTAGCATACCCGTACTACTTAAGGTTAACTAAATTATAATACCGCCACATTTACTATATAAATGGCTTTTGCGTGAGTGAAGTCACTATACGTGTATAATATGCGTTTCTACAAACATAACTTTACTTAATGAGAAATTGTGCAGCACGAAATCAATGTAAAAAAATAATATTTCGAAGTTTTCAATAAACGAAATTTTGATAAATTAAAGTTTAATTAAATAATTTAATTAAGAATAATGTTAAATAAACCATTAAAAGTAAAGATTTTTTGCTAAAATTTACACCAATAAATCAAACGAATGTAAGTTTAAGGAAGAAAATATTAAAATATTATCGAATTTCTCTATTGTTTCAATGTTTCTTTTGCAATATATTATGCAAATAATTTATTAAAACAAAGCAAATATTTAAATATTTTCATTTCTTCTTTTTTATTGTGAATTTAATTCTTGTAATTTCAGAACTTTTTCAAGTGGATGGAGATCACGTCCAATCGACACTGTGTGACTATCATTTCAACAGCAGTAATGGTTCCCTAACACGTGGTCGATTTTACTCACCTCAATATCCAAGTACTTATCCACAGAATATCAAGTGTGCCTATAGGTTTGGAGGTAGAACTAATGAGCGAGTTAAAGTAGTTTTCGAGCATGTGCTTCTACAAAGAGGCGATTTAAGGTATTGTTAAGATTGTTCCTCCTTATCTTTATAAATGGAACAATTTCCTAATAAGAAATTGTTCTGTTTTCTTCAGTTGTCTCAATAGTCCTGATGTTATAGTTGTACATGACGGTAATGACACGAGCAGTCCAGTGATTGGTCAGTTATGTAACACAAATACATTTGTGGAAATGGTATCAACCGGTCCTGATCTTTACATCGAATTTATTAGCAGGAGTCATTTTCCTGGACAAGGATTTAAAGCATCTTTTTTATTTGAAGAAGAAGCAGTCAGTACCGGAATTGAAATACCATCAACAGGTACGTTAATTGATACAAATTATTAAAGGAATATTTTGTAAAATAATGTTAATTTTTTTTTACCATAAACACATCATTCATTGTACTGGATGATAAGAAGGATCTTTGAGAGGAATCTTTAAGATGGATCTCTGAGGAATCTCTGAAAGATCTTTAAGAAGAATCTTTGGGATCTTTGAGAGATCTTTAGGAGAGATATATGAGGAATTTTTAAGTAGAATCTTTGAGATCTTTGAGAGGAATCTATGAGAGATCTATAAGAGGCATCGTTGAGAATCTTTAAGATTGATTCTTCAGGTTAAAATATAACACGAGAAAGAAATTTTAAATTAACATAGAAAATTTAAAAATTTTTATGAATGTATAAAAGAATATAAACCAAGATAAATATTAATTGCAAGTAATATACACGAATATTACATAGAATATTTGAAACATTTGGCATTTCAAAAATGTATTACAAGACATTTGATCATTTGAAATATAATAAAAATTTAAAGTAGAATTTATTTCCAACAAAACTGTGATTTTTTTCGAAAAGTTTCTAAAATAATCTAAAAATTACATAAAAACAGAATCTGTGGTAAACAATCACCATTTCTGTCAAAGAGATTGTCTACGCCCAGTTTACTCAAGAATTCCGGAGGCGTCAGTGCTGCAGACTTTGATCGTATGTCTTGTCTGCTCCACATCTATAAGTTTAGACGTGAAAGACATATCTGGAGACGGAAGGTGACGTAAGAATCAGTCGTCTGAAACTAACGCTTCGAAAGACACGCGTCAGTGAAAGACGAAATGCCTTCCAGCCAGTTGATAGAAGCGTAGAAGGGCATCGAGTTTTCTTCCTGTATTCGGCAAATAAGTCGGACAGCCTGTCCATTTTGATGTGTCGACATCACTTAATCATTCTTGCATCCATATAATTTATATCCATGTAATTTTATAGAATTTCATAAGCGTAAACTTCAATTTTCTCAAGATAATTTCCTCTAGTTCTTAATTCAATGACATTTGATGAATTTAGGAATTTTTTTTTCCCAATTTTCGATGATAAATGGAGAAAAAAACACTTGAAAATAATATTAAAAATAAACAGAATTAAGAAGTTAATAAGCATTATTTCTTTAAATATTGCCACTTTAGTATCTTTTTTTTCTAAATATGTTAAGCCAAATAAAAGATACGAAAGTGTAAATTTCCATTGTCCATGTAACTTTTGATTTCCGTTTGTCTGTCCGTTACGTTATATGAATTATATATATATATATATGATTGCTGAATTTATTTTTATATGTAAATATATTCCTTTTATCAACGTACTTTCTCCATTTTTTAATTAGAAAGTAGAACTAATCTCTAATTCAAAAAATTCTACTTTCTTATTATGTATTCGTCTAAAATCGAGCAAAATAAATAATCTAACTTTAATTTATTAAAAGTTATTAGTGTTTTGGGCAGAATATATGCGTTTTTATTATACAAACTTTATGAATTTCTTGGTGAAACTTTATGATATTATTATCATAACTCTAAAGCATAGGAAAATAGTTATGGCTAAGATTTTAGTCATACAGAAGAATATCTTCAGATTTATATTATAAATATTCGTGTATTTTGCCAAAAATACTAATAATTTTGAATAAATTAACTAAAATTAAATTTATTTTGCTTAATTTTGACGCGTTACGCATCAAATAACCATTGAAATAACGATTTTCTAGTACAGTAACGACGAAGATCATGAAACAATAGCGTATTTAACAATAAAACCAAATGTATCAATCACATTTCTATATGTAATTCATAGAGCGTAACTGACAAACAAAGAGAATATATAGAATTTTTAATAATAATAATAAAAAAAATGTATTAATATTTATTAAAACGATTTTATAGTTTTGTCTCGTACGCTAATTATGATTGATTAGTTTTATCATGTAAATATCTTCATGAATATAACCAATAGAGTGTTATGTATTCATAGAGGCGTAACGCAGATAATGCATTGAATATCTCCAACATAATACGGATCATTTGTATATGACTTGCTTCTGATTAGCTTTGCATTAATCTATTATAAGTGTTACTAGCTTTAGTGTAATTAATTAATATCTGTTTATGAAAGTTTATTTTATAAATAATTCTTTCTGTAGTAATAAGATTTTTATAACAGATTTAAGAAATTAATAAAGTTATAAAAATAATTTCTATCATTGAAGATCATAGAATCATAATTGTAGCCTTTAGATGACGGTAAATGATAGTAGAGAGGGAGAGGGTAGTAAATAAGCAATCACAGTTCTAAGGCTACTTATCGAATTTCCTTTTACTTCTTCCAAACTATGGAGTTAGTGTCGAGTTTCCTCGCATCGAAAATATTAACATCATTTATAATAAGCTGTTATTAAATATTTAGAGATGCAGAATATTAAAGTATCTAATATTTCAAAGTTAAGATGAAAATTCACTTAACTTTTTATGATAAAAATGAAAAAAATAAAGACGTTACTGATATTTTTAATCAAGATCAATAAAAAAGTTCAGAAATCTTTGTAAAAATAAAAGATGCCCTCATTTAACTAAAGTTAACATTAAAATGTGGCAGTGTACTTTTAATTGTGACTGTTGATTAATTATTGATTGGAAATAAATTATTGGTTGCTTTAATAAACATACTTCTCTTCATAACAAAAAAGAATAGTATACTTCTGTTAATTTTTGAAGCCCAATTCTGTATTGCACTAGTCCTTTGTTTCATATAGCATGGATTCAATGAACAAGGCAGTTTTTTGAAACATAACTACTGTATTGTATGAGGGATACTTGTATTTATATAATTATCTATTATTATAGTAACAGATGATAGTTATGAATAAGAAAATAATAAAGCTCATTATATTCTTAATATTTTTTTATAATTACAAATTATTGTCATTATAGTTAAGAGTTCTGTACAGTAACAATAAATATAATATTGTATTAAATGAAGGAAATATCTTTTAAATTCAATAAACAGATACTGTAAAAACTCAATAATCCATTTTTTACAGCATACAGCAGAGTTACTGTATTTTTTNAATTAATTGAAGTTTACACATATTTAATAAATTTAGAATTAAAGGTTCATTTTTTTAAATAAAAATTTATATAAATTAACAAAATTTTATAAATAATTCTTTCTTTTAAACTTATCCAATATGACCTAGACTAAACGCATTCAGTCATAAAAACATCCCACATACAACCATATATTATTATGGGTTACATGACGTGACATGGTCTTAAGAACGTGACGTGACTTTTTGCAATGCTTCAAATTAACTCTTACAAGTCAGATAAATAAATGGACATTTTTTTTTTAAAGTACGAAATTCGAATTAACTCTCAACACGAAATCTTTAGTTATATTCTTCATTAATTGTTTGCTGATTAAATTAATATTTTTAGTAAGAGATTTATATATTAATAACTGACATTTCAACATTTACTAGCTTATAATTTATATAAAAAATATAAAAAAATACGACATAATTAATATATTTATCAAGTGATGTTTAACATAGTTTTTCCTCGAAATGTGTGTGTGTCTGTCTGTTCACGATAAAGCTAGAGAGTAGATCGTGATGTCACGCTACTACATTATCTATAATGGCGAATAAGGTTGTTATTTTCAATTATATTTTCATGTCTATATTTGTAAATCGAAGTCTATCTCTTTTATGTTTCTATTTATTATTAATGTTATTGCTTATTTTATTAATTTTTTTAAAAAATATCTGCTATAATTCGAGGTAATCGATAGTGAAGTTTGGAATAGGAAATAGTTCTTTACACGCACTAAATATATTTATTTATAAGTAAAATAAATCAATAAGTTAATAGAATAAATTGGGATGCAATTTTCAAATTGCAGACCTATACATTCCCACTGTCTGTCTATCTGTCTGTCCTTCGTTAATCTCTAAAACGGAGTTAGAAAGATTAAAATGCAGACTATAACTGGAAAGTGTAGGATCAGGAGAACCGATTAACTGTATAGGAAGTTCCTGAATAGAGAGAAAGTCACGTAATTTTAATTCAAATGTGTTCTTGAGTACGGAATGAGATACGTTTACTGTTGTTTTCAGGATAAATATGATGTACAGGGGCAAGGAACTACTAATAACGAGACCAGTGATGGAAAGCTCAGAGGGCACAGACCTCGATTTACTACATTATTTTTATATTATACGTGATTTTTTACATTAAAATTCGATTAAAAATCGTAGCCAGGGTATTGTGACGATGTCACAGTAAATAACTGCTCGTTACGATTTTAAAAAATTTAATATTAAAAAGATATATAAAATTATTATGAATAAATTAAATTGACATTAAAATTATTTCATTATTTTCTTTCAGATTAAACGAGTTTTAAATTTAAATTCAATAAACTTTACTGTAAACTTTTAGCAAGTAACATGACAGAAAATTAAANAATTATATTTCGGAAATGAAGTATCAGTCTGTCTATGTAATAACATATATTATTATGGGTTACATGACGTGACATGGTCTTAAGAACGTGACGTGACTTTTTGCAATGCTTCAAATTAACTCTTACAAGTCAGATAAATAAATGGACATTTTTTTTTTAAAGTACGAAATTCGAATTAACTCTCAACACGAAATCTTTAGTTATATTCTTCATTAATTGTTTGCTGATTAAATTAATATTTTTAGTAAGAGATTTATATATTAATAACTGACATTTCAACATTTACTAGCTTATAATTTATATAAAAAATATAAAAAAATACGACATAATTAATATATTTATCAAGTGATGTTTAACATAGTTTTTCCTCGAAATGTGTGTGTGTCTGTCTGTTCACGATAAAGCTAGAGAGTAAATCGTGATGTCACGCTACTACATTATCTATAATGGCGAATAAGGTT